AATATGACAGCAATACAGGCTGAATTTCAGCACAGAACACCATTGTGGTCAGCATAATAAAAACATGTAAGATATATTCAAGTCTAACCTTTACTATGAACATAACATGTTAAAACACACACACAAACACCCTTTTAACTGAAAGCAAGACCCAAAGGAATTATGGGTAGCTCCCACCCTCAGTGCTACAGCACTTATTTTGACTTTATGTTGTTTTCAATGTAACAATTGAAAACTGACAATTATATGTATGTGCTCTGCACTGTGTTACTAAAACTTTTATACCATTTAAATCTGTATACCTTCCGCTGTCCAAAGGAAAACAAGTATCTCCAAAATGTTAACTTTACAGGAGGGCAAAAAAAAACACTTTTAATGTAAGTCAGTGTAAATATATTTTATTCCAAGTAATTTTAGAGCATTGCAATTGGTGCATTAATGATGAAATGTCCACACATGTTCACTGTGTTTAAATGATGCAGAAAACTAAAAATCGACAAAAATGAAGATGGACAGCGACAATACACAAAAACACTAGTACAATAGCCACTGATTTATATATATCTGTGTATCTGTGCTTTCAGTAGCCAGTTAAGCATTCCCAAACCTCTCCTTGTGGCAGCTCAGTATTGTTTGTAGTCAAGATCCAATACCTGGCTCTGCTAATCAGTACTTCATTATGTACATGAATGGAATTGACAAATCCATGTCATGGCTGGGGGGATTCAGGAGAAATCTGGAACCAAACTTTGTTGTTCAAACTAGCTAACAAGATAACAATGTCTATGTGATTTCTTGATTGTTGTTTAAGTTGCCGTTGTTGTTTGAGTTGGGATGAAATCGTAGTGAAAAAACAGTAGTCCATTAGTAACTTAGTAACACTAGATGGATAAGACCCTTGATCTTATTGACCTTGACTCATTGCAGGTCATCCTGAAAGAGCTATTCTATCCCAGTTAAGTGTGTGGTCTGGGATGGATGAAAGCACTGAGACTCCCTGTGGGCTCCTATGTCATGTACTTGACCTGTAAGCTGACCTAGGAGCAGTCAGAGAGCAAGACCTTACAGAGAAAGAATGTGCGTCCTCTGAGTTGCAGTATTGACGTCTTTGTTTTGCACTGTGTGTGCAAGGCTGCTTTTACATAATAGATGGCCCAGGCTGCTTCTGCATAAATAATACATCATAATGTAAATCCTTACCTCTAAATGCATACCTCAAGTCTCTAGGGACCCATGACCTCAGTCCCACCCTCTAACTCATCCATGTTTTTTCAGAAAAGCTATTCATATCGAAGTCTCTCTCGTTATTTTTTTTAATATACAGTTAGAACACTATAGGTGCCCTATACATTGAAAATTTCATGACAAATGGACCAATAGACATGCTACAAAATGACTTGGAATAAAATCTCATTACATTAATAAAGATCAAAAAGAAGAATGTCTCTTCTCTCTCCTATAATTTTACTGTTTCAGAAAAACAGTGGGCCTCATTCACCAAAGAGAGTCCTAAGAAAAAGTCTACATCAGATTCATGATGTGTTCTTAAACCACAGAACTGTTCTCACCTTTGTGCTCTTGAGTGTGTGTAGATTCTGTTCCTACCTAAGAACAAATCCCAAATAAGAAAACACTGGTGAATGTAAGAATCTTTGTATAAAAGTGGGTTTTACAAAGAAATTTCTTCTTAGGAACAGTTGGTAAATGAGATCTATTGTTTTGTTACAACAGTGATTAAATGACAAAATATATTTAAACATTTTAACAGTTTTTCATAGTTGTGGTTGTTGTTTGTTGCCCATCATGATATCATATGTATTATATAAAGTGTTTATGAATGGTTTTAAATGAGATTATTAATGGTTATTAATTAGGTCATAAGCGTTTAAAAATCAGTAATAAGCAGCTTTAACACATACATAAAACTTGCAAACAGCAGTGAGCTGTTTTATCTGATGAATATGAATATCTGATGAAGCTGTATAAGTACACTATAATGCTGACTAATGAAGAAAGGAAAATATGTAAGGGATGGGCACAGGTCACTGATGTCCATGATCCGCCAGCTGCAACAACACACTGAGGTCAGCCAGCATAGCCTAACAGCGACGTTTCTACCACAATTCCATCTCTGCTATGTACGATAAATGTAATATTACTAAGGATGCACCTAAATTTGCCCACCAAACCATTTCAGGTTGAAAATGGTCAGAAGTAGAAATTTCGGTTTTCGGCTGAAAGAGAAAAAAGGCAGAAATTTTTGGTTGAAAAGACACAAGATTAAATAGGAGTACAACAAAGTGGCAATATCTAACACGTAACAGATCATTTAAATGACAAAAACAAGAAACAGACGCCTAAATTAGAGTTTAATTGCTTTCTTGAAAGGTTAAGTTAGTCTGCAACATGTATCAGAAAATCTGATTGAAAGTGTGGAAAAAAACGGCTGGGATTCTGGTAGCTGTTTATATCGTGATGCCACAGCTTCTTTCTCCAGTACCAGCTTCATAACCTAGGTTTATATGAATACCTCAGGCTGAAATTCACAATGAATGAATTTAAGGTTTTTTTCCTTCTCCTGAAACCTCCTCAAAACTTTGTAATTGCTCCTCAGAGGCTAGTGTGGCGAGGCATTTACTGAGTATTGGGAAATGCACAACAGCATAAATGACTCCATGTGTTTGAGGAGAGATAAATGCATGTGGTGTAATTGAGTGGTTGTAAATGGGCATAAGCTGTACTTGGTTGGACCGGGCAATTGTGCCTGAGACTAGATGAATGATTTTTAACTGTGAGTCTTGTTTGATTCATTTAGAGTATCTGGTACATTTATTTTGCTGTTATTCTAGCATCCATGGCTGTGGTTTGGAGCAGACATTACCAATTCCAGCCAAATATCACCACAGTCTTTTATTCCAAACAATGTGACTTACATATAACAGTTTTTACTTCGTCACGCACACTTACTAAAAATATGTCATGCCTCTGTTTCATTAACTTAGCCGAAGATTCAACAGGCAGTACCTGAAGATGCTTTTCTATCAGAATGGTTTTCTAACCAGAGCTCCAAAGCTCTCTGTGTTGTGGAAGTCTAGTTTCAGTAGCTATTTAAAAAAAGGTAGTGAAAATGAAAGATGTGTTATAAAATCCAGTAAAATGTCACTGTTTCTCGCTTCCAAAGTACAAGCTGTGCTTGTTCTGTAATTGGAAAATTTAAATGATGGAAGTTGCTACCTCTTTCTCTCTAGGGGCTGCTTGGACCTTCATGAGATGGAAGAATTCTGAATGCAAACAGGATATTATGGTTTCTTCATTGCAGTGAATTTCCAAGACTGCTGATTCCAAACCACATGAAGCAGCCCTGAAATTTTATTGTGAACACTTTGGTTAATCTCTGTGTAGTTCTGCTTGCCAGGGTTGTAATCTGTCAAAAAACATGTGTTTGGTGAACATAGCCACTCTAACAGTAGCAAATAAGCTAGTCCCCCTGAAATCACAATGGACCTTTTTTTACCATATTGGTTCATGTTCTTGGTCATATTAGGCAAGATTCATCATGATATTTCATATTGTTTCATATCAAATCATTACAAGATTCTCGCTTTCCTGCAGTATTCCATCAAAAGGTAGTGACTTTTGCCTCGCCTCAAAAAAGAGTTTTGGTTACCTCCCTGTGCACCAGTGGGTGTGGAAAAAGAATATTAACCTACTAGAAGGGGAAAGTTTGTAAACAGACTTTAAGTTGCTTCAAAAAACATTTTTATGAAATCCCAGGTAGTTGCTAAGGTTTTGCTAGGCCGTGCAATAGTGTCCCAGGTGGTTGCTTCGGTTTTGCTAGGGTATTGCTGTGATATTCCAGGAGATTACTAAGGTATTGCTAGACCTTTTGTTAGGCCATTGCTATGGTATACCAGGTGGTATATGTGTGTGTGTGTGGGTGTGTGTGATATTTATGAGTCTGTAATGCCAGTGAGAAACAGCGTGAAAGATGTCTTTTGTGGCAAAAAAAAAGTTCTGAATTTTTTTTTTTGGTGTGTAAACTTCAGGGCCCATTTTTATGAGGCAAGACAGACTGCTGATCTAAGATCAGCCCAGGTAAACCTATTTAATGCTATGTGAAAGGCATAAACCAGGGGTTGGCAACCCAGATGTTAAGAAGAGCCATTTTGTCCTTTCAGTATAAATCAAATCACCTTTGGAGCCACAAAAAATGTGATATTAACGAAATGCAGACTTACTTTGCTCTGCTTTAACCTTTAGGTCAGCTGTAGCTGCTTTTCTCGCATCTTTGGCAGGAAACCTTTCCTCAAAAGTAGAACAGTTTCTTGTAAAATGTCTCTCAACATTCGACTTTTTACGAGGCTGAAGTCGCTTCTCCCTCGCCAGCTTCTTGTTCAAATTTTTCCGTTCCACCTTAATGGTGTCTGATGCACCAGAATGTAACTGCTGCACCATTTAAGGTGGAACGGAGAATTTGACCGAGAGGCTGGCGAATGAGAAGCTGACTTCAGCCTCACAACTTTTTAGTGTTTGACAGTTTCTCATTGCAGATTAAACATATCAGGAAACCAGCTGGAGTGATTATAAATGCAAACAAGTCCAATCGTCTCCAAATCATTGATGTCCGTCTTAAATCTTTTTGCCTATTTATTAGCTACTAGCTAGGTGGGATTGTTTTCTGTGTTTTGGGGTTAAAGAGTGAATTAGCAGTTAAACATTACTCTAGCGTTTAAGACCATTTACTGTTAAAACTGTGTTACAACGATCAGCAGAGCTTTATTTTACTGCAAAGCAGGATCATTTTATTCTTACCTAAATATCTAAGTCAGTAAAAGAGCCGCATGCAGCTCCAGAGCCACATGTTGCCGACCCCAGGCATACACTGATCCCAGATAAGCGTTTTTACTATGAGGTGTTTGAGGAATATGGGCCCAGGCCTCTGAAAGTGAACCCTGCAGTGAACGTGTTTGCAATCCGTCTGTTTTCTCTCTCTCTGTCAGATGTGAACGAGTGTGAGGAAACTAATGGAGGATGTGAGGCACTGTGCTGTAACACTATTGGCAGCTACTATTGCAAGTGTCCCTCAGGCCAGGAACTCAAGGAGGACGGCAAGACCTGCCAAGGTAAGCTCCATCCATCTTCTAATAGGGAATGAGTGTTGAATGTATCAAACCACGTCTGTGGTCACTTTTTGTCCTTCATAGTCTAAGAAATACAAATACGGACGCAGGGGACGTGATTTTGATCGTGCACTCTAATCAGTTAAGACACTTGATTCATACAAGGCCTGGAGTCTCCCAGTGGAACAGCACATGAACTTATTTTATATATACCGTACAAATTTTCAGTTTTGCTGTTAAGAGTAAAAATCACAAACAAGGAAAGTTTAGCATTTGTTTACTTATTGCTGCTTGTATAAGAGGTGATCTGTAACTGACTTGTACAATTTTTGTTTGGAGTATTTCCATATATTAGTGGGGGAATTTTTAAGCACCTCACAGTTTAAATTTGATTCAGCGTACCAAGTTATGATTATAAAACACTTCTTTATGCATCTAGGTGCATGTCATGTTTATATCCATTTCTAATGCTACATTATTTTTTACTACTCTATTTCTCATTAACAAGTAGTGTTTGCTCAGTTGAACTTGAATCAGGCTAGACTCTGTACTTGCATCTAATCTAATTATGTTTTTGTGTGATCTTTTTGTTCTTTATTTGATCTTTTTGTTGTTTTTTATCTTTGTGGTTTGCTGCAGCTTAAACCTACTTTTTCTTCCCATTTTATCCACTTTTTAAGATTAACTGATTTTAACAAAATTTTCGATAAAAAAATCACATGGTAAATAGTATAGTACATAAAACAGTAGAAAAAAAATAAAAACTATTTAGAAACTTAACCTCTTGTTTTGAATATTGTCACTGCTGTTTTTTTCTCTTTAAATGATACACACAAAAGTGACTTATGTGCTCTTCATGCTGGAAAAGCTTCAGACTACTACACATGCTTGAGTCAGTAAGTGAGTTTCAAAGCCACATCCTCATGCTTTACATGTAGGTTTTCTGTCAATGTAGAGGAGGTGTGTTGGAATTCAGCTGTGTAAGCCTGTAAGAAACTATGAAGTATCATAATTTTGTAATTTTACAATTCATCTAAAACATAAGGACACTTACTGTACGGAAAAAGCTGGACGATTTTCTTCTGACTCACTCTGGGAAACTGCGACACATTTACTACTTTCTGTACTGCAAATTTACCTTTATTCCTTTACTAAGTATTTAAAGGTGATATATACAACATTTTAAATATCAATACAGCAGCAAACAACTATTTTCTATGTAAAGACATAGATTATGATTATATTACTGTATTATGATGAGGTTGGTATTGTGTAAGGGGTAACACTTTTGCCCTCTATGCTGCAGACTTGAGGTCGATCCCCCCCACCTGGGCAAGCATCCTACATTATACCAGTAAGAGTCCTTGGGCAAGACTCCTAATGCTGCCTGTCAGACGCATGTGTTAGTGTTAGTTAGTTTGTTTTCATTGGAGAAACCTATGAAAAATCCAGTTATGATATTTTGTGAATCAGTTCAGAATCTGGACCTGCAACCAAATTAGTTCAAACTGTGATCCCACAGTAAAAAAAGTCATTGTTATGCTGTCGTTGTAAACACTGACATAAAATACTCAAACACTGACTGATAATCGGATAAAATAATAGTCTAAACGGAAATGCATGTCCTTTAGCCGTCACAAACTTTGGTGGAACTGAATTTATGCCATTTCCATTGGTATTAATGAATATTATTTATTATCATATTGTCATAGATCCTCTGTAAGCATATTCAGAGCTAATAACTAGCCTATAGTGTATTTTTATGCCCATAATTAACAGGGATTTTATTTTGTAAAGGTATTTTGCAGTTGGAATTAAGCCAATTTTTATTACTGTTCAGAGTTTTGTGTCTAATTATTCAAACTGACAGCTCTCAGCCTTTTAGAGCTTCAGTTTTGAGGATATTTTCTGTTCCTTCTGACGAAATCTTCTATTCAGTGATCACATAGTTATCAGACTAGAGTCCAAATATTATTTTTAGTTTTCTGAACTAAAGAAGAAGTTGAACAACAGAGATAAAACGAGCTAAGATTAAAGAAAACGTTTTTGTATAAATACTGTATACGATGATGGATGTGAACCGCTGCATATCAGTTTATAGATCTGTACTGCTTGCCAGCTGAAAATGCTTCCACTGTGAACTTGGGCTCAAATCAAAGTGTCAGCAACTCTTGATGCCAGCAGTGTAGCAGGAGTTACAAGTCACATGCCAGGAGTTCAGCTCGCTTCTTTTCTCCATACCATGAAACTCTAGTTTCTAACTGTTTGTGCCATTCTCAGTGACAGTTTTTCCATGACTGTCTCACAGTCCTGCAAAGAAGTATGTAAATTCACTACAGAACAGTGTTTGATACATACAGAAACATTTAATACACTATATGGACAAAAGTATTGGGACATCTACAGTTGACACTCACTGGAGCTTTTATGACATCCCATTCTAAAACCAAAGGACTTAATATGGAGTTGGTCCTTTATAGCTATAACAGCTTCCACTCTTCTGGGAAGCTTTCTACAAGATTTTGGAGAGTGTCTGTGGTAATTTCTGCCCGTTCATCCAGAACTCACCTGAACTCGATAATTAGGAGGTATTTCCCAATACTTTTGTCATATGGGGTGTATTAAAAATATAGGTAGAATGGAATGTCGTCTGCTCAGATGATATGGTTATTATTCATGAGTATAGATTTTAAAAAATAACCATCAATAAACTACAAATTCCAGTATGAAGTTTATGCTTGAGAAAAGACAAAAGTCTTCTGTATAATAATTCTGCTGCTATCCTAACTCTAAGAAGTCTAGTATTATTATCATTTATATGTAATTGCATACACCGATCAGGCATAACATTATGACCACCTCCTTGGTTTTATGCTTGTTGTCCATTTTATCAGCTCCACTTACTATATAGGTGCACTTTGTAGTTCTACAGTTACAGACTGTAGTCCATCTGTTTCTCTGCATACTTTGTTAGCTCCCTTTTACCCTGTTTGTCAGTGCTCAGGACCCCCATGGACCCTCACAGAGCAGGTAATATTTGGGTGGTGGATCATTCTCAGCACTGCAGTAACACTGACGTGGTGGTGGTGTGTTAGTGTGTGTTGCGCTGGTCTGAGTGGATCAGACACAGCAGTGCTGCTGGAGTTTTTAAACACTGTGTCCACTCACTGTCCACTCTATTAGACACTCCTACCTTGTCAGTCCACCTTGTAGATGTAAAGTCAGAGACGATAGCTCGTCTGCTGCTGCACAGTTTCCTCTAGTCCTTCATCTGTGGTCACAGGATGCTGCCCACAGGACACTGTTGGCTGGATATTTTTGGTTGGTGGACAATTCTCAGTCCAGCAGTGACACTGAGGTGTTTAAAAACTCCAGCAGCACTGCTGTGTCTGATCCACTCAGACCAGCACAACACAAACTAACACTAACTGCTCTGTGAGGGTCCATGGAGGTCCTGACCACTGAAGAACAGGGTAAAAGGGGGCTAACAACGTATGCAGAGAAACAGATGGACTACAGTCTGTAATTGTAGAACTGCAAAGTGCACCTATATAGTAAGTGGAGCTGATAAAATGGACAATGAGTGTAGAAACAAGGAGGTGGTCATAATGTTATGTGTATTTTAACATAGATATGTTATTAATTACATTCACATTCAATTTATATTCTGTATTGACAGGGTTGGGTCTCTCCAAAAACAACAAAATGACGAATATAAGGGAAGGAAGGAGACTGTGAATTCTACTTTAAGATTTAATGGCCGATATAAATACTTATTGATTGTTTTCTAAGCCTTTAAATACGCGTTTGCTTGATTTTGCTCATTTGCAAGTGCATCATATTTTAATTTAGCTTCAGCTCCTTATCTTTTCCTTCTTTTTCCTTATCCAGTTCCTTCCCAACCCACCTCCCTTGAATACCAGTTGCTTCTGGAATGTGTATGCTAATCAGCCCCAGACTTGACTTAAGGGCATGAAAGATTAATCTTCCCCAGGCAGGCCTGTCTGTATGTGGGCGCGTGGCACCCAACAATCTCCTTAACAGTCTGTAAGTGGATCAGGCCTGAACAAGCAGCTGGGCTTTGTCTGGATGAAAAGTCCATCTTACACATGTCACATATGTATTAATAAGACACTGTGTAATGTATTTTGGGTGAAGTTCATATCAGCTCTATGGCTTTGGCGGGTCTTTGGGGAGTCTGGCTATGTGAAGGAGCTGTTTGAAGTCTTGAATAAGTTAGTGTGAGTATGCAGTTGACATGTCAGATTAAAAAGAGAATGTTTGCCAATAATACAGGATTAAAAGTGTTCTTCTTCTGTCAGTGTTCTAAGCAGACTATTGCCCTATTCCTTTAATTTATTTCATATTCCGCCCCACACTGTGCAGTAGCTGTGATAAAAGAAAAGAAGAATGCCCCTAAATCAAACTCTGCTGAAACTACGCCAGTAACTTCTGTCTTATCACATGCCGAGGGCACGCAGTATTTACATTACAGTACGTCTGGCTTAAGAAGTGCGAGTACTTAACTCTGCATCTCATCCCTCAAAGTTAAGCCATAGTTTAAAGATTTAGTCATCTCTCTGATGTTTGATTTGTCCCATTACCAGGAGTCTGTAATGGATGCGTATGGGGCGTGGGCAATCAGCTTTGAAATGTCTAAATATGTCAAAACGTGTTATCTGTGTTGTGTTTTTAGAGCATATTTATGATGTGAAAATTGATTTGGAAAGAAGTAATGTTGCTGCCAAGAAATGGTGCTACGTTTTATCAGGCAAGTGCAATTTTCATGTCAACATTAGCAATAAGGCCTGTCAGAAGTTACGCCAAGATATGCGTAGCTAGTTAGCTAGCAAACAGATATCTCGTTGTAATAACACGCAGATGTTCCCATTCCCACCTTGTGAAAATAAACTAATCAGGGTGGAAATATGAACGCAGCAGAAGATGTGATCGTTTTTGTTAGAACCTTAAAACAGTGCGTAATGTAACATGCAAAAGCCAAA